CCGCGGCAGGCCACCAGGCGCCGAGCTGTGGCCGGGCGGGGATCCCGGGAGGCCGGGGCCGCGAACACCGGCGCGGCGACAGCACCGCAGCCATCCGCCCTGCTCCGCGGCGGGCCCGAGAACAACGCCAGGGACGGTGAGCGCCCGGAAAATGCCCCTACCTTCCGCGGAGGCGAGGTCCAAGCTGGCGCGTCCAGAGTCGCGCTCCTCCTTCCCCCGACGCGGCAGGCCCAGAGCAGAGATGGAGAAGAAGGGCGGCGGGTCCAGCGGCGGACGAGGCTGAAGCTCCGGCTCCTCCTCCTCCCGCGGCGGCGACTGGTACCTTTGTTTGGCGGCCGCTCGGGCTCCCTCGCTGGGGGGAGGGGGCCGACGAAAAATCCCTCCCGGACTTGAGGTCCGGGCCCCCGGGCGCGCCGCCCTCCAGAGGATGGCGGCGACGGACCCTCTGCGGCTCCCTCCGGGCAATGGTCCAGGCGGCGGCCGTGACGGCGGCAAGCTAGGGCTCCAGAGACTCCTCCGCTCCGGCGCCCGAGCTCCTCACTCCGGACTCGACTGACGGGCAAACATCGCTTTCCCCCCACCCAGGCCCCCCCTTCCCTCCTTCTCCCCTCCCCTTGATTCTTTTCCCCTCCCTTACTTCTTTCCCGGATGGCCTCTTAGACGACCTCGGATTGGTTGGGGTCCACCAGAGCCCGCCTTTGCCCTGTTTCTATTGGTCCCCATCATACAAACAACGACGCCATTTTCCCACCAGTTCTATGGAAACAGAAAGTTACGCCCCAAAGCATCTTGGGAAATGTAGTCCAATTCCCGGGACCAATGCGCAAACCCTTACCCTGCGAGAACTGCAAGACCCGCAACACCCCGCGCCTGCGTGAGACGGAAGCGAGAGGGAAAGAGGGAGGGGCCACCTGGAAACGGGGAGGTGACAACGACGCCTGCGCAGTGTAACCGGGATGGCGCATTTTCTTGCTACGAGTAATGCGGCGTCGCTGGCGGCTGAGGAGGGCGGAGAGTTTTGTGGTGAAGTAGGAAGAGAGATTTATGAAGGAGCCGGGAGGAGCCTTGGTCTGAACTCCGGAGTGGGAAGTTGACATGAGGTACTGCTGCTCCCGACCGACGGCGTAAAGTCGTGAGATCATCGTGAAACCGTGAGCGGCGGCGGTGGCTGGGGGGACCCGGATGGGACACAGCGGGGGCGGGGCCGCGGCCGCGGGGAGAAGAAAGGAGTGAGAGGACCCGGATGCTGACCCGGCGCTCGGGTGACTGCCAGCGCCTAGCGGAGGGAGGAGGAGCGGCCCGAGCGGGCGGAAGGGGATGTCTCAGGTGACCCCCGGGACTCGAAGTTCCCCGCCGATGGGCCGCGTCCCTAGGAGTGGGAGGGCTCGCCTGCGCCCGACCGCCACGCTTTTCGTCTGTCCGGGTTTAGTAATTCTGAATCCAGACTTCCCCTTTAAAGAAATGCTTTGCGCGGAAGTTCCAGTTCGGTCGCGCGAGTGGGTGCTCTGCAGCCCTCCAGGCCTCGCGCGTGCGGTGGGCGCCTGCCGTGAGGCAGCCGCGCGTGGTGCGTGGCGCGTGGTGCCTGGCGCGTGGTGCCTGGCGCCCGGCGGGAGGGCGGACGGAGCGCATGAGCGGTGTGCTTCTCGGAGGAGACGGGCGTGGGGCAGGCTTGGCTGCGGTGCAGGGCGCGGGGACTGGCGGAGGGGCCGGCGAGGGCTGGGAGGAGCGGAGGAAAGGACCCCCGGGCCCTGAGGGAGTGGCGGGCCGGGGCGGGCTCGCCCTGCGGTGGGGCGCGCGGGGGCTGCCTCGGGGGCTCTCCTCTGGGAGGAAGGAGGCCCTTCGGTGGCCGTGGTTCGCTGGTGCAAGGGTTGAACTCACTGATCCACTCTGAGCACGTTTCCTGCAGGTTCTAACTTTTAAAAGTGGGAGAATAGTTTGAGACTCTGGTTGGAGCTTTCTGTAGTTTTTCACCGTAAAAATGAATTAGGAGGATTCGTAAATGTACACTACTGTCTTCTTCGGTATTTAGACTTGAAAGTCGAAGTTGCGGCTCTCATAAACTCAGACTGCTGAGTAAAAAAGGTGGGGGGGGCAAATAAGTCCTTAGACTTTCCCCCCCCGTATTTGTACTGGTGCGTTATAATTGTACATAGTGGTGCGGTTAGTTGTCACCTGTTCATACGTGCACCCAATAACATTTCCTAATATTGCCCCTTTACTGGTCCCCTTGGACTCATGACAAGACGGCTGCAGTTGTGGCTCAGTGGTAGAGCACTTGTCTGTCACCTGTGAGGCACTGGGTTCGATCAGCAGCACTACTACATAAAAATAAAGATATCATGTCTACCTACAACTAAAAAATATTTTTTAAAAAAAGACAAGACAAACTGATTTTTTGATACCTACATGAATTGAGATTGGATTTCCATTTGTAATCTGCCTTCAATAAAAAATTAAGATGGAGCCAGATGCAGTAATGCACACCTGTAATCCCAAATCTGGGGGCTTAGGCAGGAGGATCATAATTTCCAGGAGAGCCTGGGCAACTTAGCCAGTGTGTATAAGAGCTGAGGGCATAAGTTAATGGGAGAACATCCTGGTTTAATCCCCTATATCCTCCCCTTCCCCTACCAGAGAAATAGTTAAGGTAATGGGTTTTATGTCTTGCCCTATTATGCAAACACCAGATTTGCTTGATATTAAAAGTATGAAAATATTCTTTGAGGATTTTAATCTGAGTTGCAGGTAAAGCATTCAGGGACTATGTGATTCCTTAAAAGTTGGTTACAGATTTTATTTTTGTTGCTGTGCATATGTATGTGGGAGGGAGCTTAGTGATTTACACACTGGCTTTTTTTTTTTTTAAGAAGATCCATAGCTTTTATTATATCAAAAGGTTTCTCCTACCCTTAAAGTGGTTTATACTTAGTGGAAGCATCCAAATACTTGTAGAGTTGATGGTAATCTGTGTATTTTCATTTTAGCTCTCCTTTCTCACAGGCCTTCTGTCTGCCTCACAATGACTAGATAATGTAGAGGTTTTATTCTTCCCTCCTGTTGGCATCTCATTCCATAGTGGAAAAATAGGCACGATAGGGTTCACACTTTACTTCATGTTAGGTGCCTGCTAAGGCAGGAACATTAGCTGGTTCTTACAGGTTGATCAGTTGCAGCTTTTCTATGTTTTTTTTTTTTTTTAAATATTTATTTTTTAGTTATCGGCAGACACAACATCTTTTTTGGTATGTGGTGCTGAGGATCGAACCCGGGCTGCACGCATGCCAGACGAGCGCGCTACCGCTTGAGCCACATCCCCAGCCCTTTTCTATGTTCTTAATAGCTTTTAGAAATCATTTACTTTTGTGGCACTTTGTCAGTATTTATTCAGGAGCTTCAGCTCTGCTTGGAAGTATGGATCAAGGTATCAGTGTGTTCATCTACTGAAAATATGTTCAAAGAGTCTTGTATTTTATGAGTTAAACATGAGACTCTTCTAAAGTTATTTTACATTTTTAAATTTAATACCTGTTGGGGCTGGGGTTGTGGCTCACTGGTGGAGTGCTCACCTCACATGTGTGAGGCCCTGCATTCAATCCTCAGCACCACATAAAAATAAATAAGGTATCGTGTCCATCTAAATTTTTTTTAATTGATACTTGTAAACAGTAATAGATACTAGAATTGCCTTATCCATGAGGTGGTAGATGATGAGATCATAGTCTCAGATGACTGGGCTACAGAAGAATGGGCTTCATATTTAATTTTATGAAGTTACTAGAGCAGGTTTAGAAATCAAGAAATGCACCCTCAGCATTATAGTAAATAAAAATATGAGCCCATCCCCCTTGGTTGTGTTGTTATGCAGTATGATGAAGCTGTCTATCTTCAGATCCTGTACCATTTTCTCAAGCAGCTCCTTAAGAATTGTATATGATGCATATTAAAAATGGAGATTCCTAGTCCTCTTCCCAGACTTAGTGAATCCGAAAAAGACCTTTGACTAGGCAAAATAACACAAAGTATACCTGATTTCATAAATGTGACACTTGGGGGCTGGGGACATAGCTCAGTTGGTAGAGTTTTTGCATGCCTACCCTGCACAAGGCCCTGGTTCAATCCTCAGCACCAAAAAAAAGTGACACTCACCCAAGTGAATATATTCTTGAGCTTTATTCAAGCATACAAGAGAACTCTAAGATGCCTTCCAGTTCCAAAATTCTATGATGTGTAAATGCTTTCAGCTGCACTAATCTTGAACTTCCATATCATATTAGGTTTATTCTTATGTTTGTATATTTTCAATTAAGCCAAAAGTATTGATTAGAAGATGTCTTGTGATCCTGAAGACCAAATCATAGTCCCAAAAGGCAAAAGAAAGAGGACAAAAATTATAAACTCCTAAAATGTGACAGGTAAAAATAAAAATAGATTGCCAGAGAGAGAGAGATTCAGCAGTAAAGGAGGACCCTATAAAGACCATGATACTCAAGACCATGATACTCTTAAGAAATATTGAAATAAGCCAGATGTGGTAGCACATACATATAATTCCAGTGACTTGGGAGGCTGAGGAAGGGGGACTACAAGTTTAAAACCAGCCTCAGCAACTTATTGAGACCCTGTCTCAAAACAAAACACTAAAAGGGCTGGGAATGTACTCAGTAGTTAGGCACCCCTGGTTTCAATCCCCAGCAACAAAAATGTTAAAGTACATACAAAATTCCAAATAATAAAACATTACAGGGGAATGATTTTAATACATAAGATTACATTCAAGTTAATGCATATTTTAAAACAGAGTCTCATATTTTAGAGCAAATATGAGTACTTCCCTTTAAATTATAAATATATAAAACAACCATCTTGGGACTGGAGGTACAAAACCCAGCCAGCCAAGCACAGTGGAGCATGGCTGTGATCCCAGCTACTCAGGAGGGTGAGGCAGGAGGACCAGCCCCAGCAATTTGTTGAGACCCTATCTCAAAAAGGGGTGGGTGTGGTGGCATAGGCCTGTAATCTCAGGAGACTGAGGAGGATCACGAGTTCAAAGCCAGCCTCAGCCAAAGTGAGGTGCTAAACAACTCAATGAGACCCTGTCTCTAAATAAATACAAAATAGGACTGGGGAATCTCTAGTACACCCCCCCCAAAAAAAAAGGCTGTGAATGTAGCTTGGTAGTAGGGTGCCCCTGTGTTTAATCCCCAGTAATAAAATTTTTAAAAAGCTATCTTAATGTTCATAGAAGGAACATGCTTACTAATTTATATAATCAATTAATAACGAAAATATCTAATTCTGTGATTTGTTTTGACATTTGTTTGATTTCAATCATTTAAGTCTTTTATGGTTGATGAAAACAGGCAAGGCATTATAATACATTATGTATCTAAGAAAACCACTTAAATCAGCTGAACACTTTGACCAATGTCATCATTTCAATGAAGAATTGTATTTTTTAAAAAACATGAGATGTGATCTATATACCATATACCAACCATTTAAAGTGTACACTTTAAGCAGGATGTGGTAGTAACTACCTGTAGTCCCACCTACGTGAGAAACTAATGTGTAAGGATTGCTTGAGCCCACGGTTTTAAGAACAGCCTGGGCGGCAAAGTGTGATGCCATCTCACACAATCAAGAAGAGTGGACAGTTCTATATTGTTAGTATATTCACAATGTGCAACCATCCCATGTTCTTTTTTTTAAGTTGTAGATGTACACAATATTTTTTTATTTTGTTTATTTAGTTTTATGTGATGCTGGGATTGAACCTCACATATGCTAGGCAAGCACTCTACGACTGAGCTATAACCCCAGTCTTTCCACAATCTGAATTTTTTATCTTATTTTATTTTTGTACCAGGGATTGAAACCAGGAGCACTTAACCACTGAGCCACGTCCCCAGCCCTTTTTACTTTTTATTCAGAGACAGGGTCTTGCCAGATTGCTTAGAGCCTCACCAAGTTGCTGAGGCTGGGTTTGAATTTGGAATATTCCTGCCTCAGCCTCCCAAGCCACTAGGATTACAGGTGTGCACCACCGTGCCCATCCCCACAATCTAATTTTATGGTTTGATGCTTCCCCCAAAAAACAAACCATAACTCACTAGCAGTTAGTTCTTGTTCCTTGTTCTTCCTGTGCCAGCAACCACTAATCTACTTTCCATCTATATAGGCATATTCAGAACATTCATGTAAGTGGAATTATGTGATAAGTGGTCTTTGGGGACTGGCTTCTTTAATGTAATATAATGTTTTCAATTTTTTTGGTTGGGGGGGTACTATGGATTGAACTCGGGAGCACTTGACCACTGAACCACATCCCCAGCCCTATCTTGTGTTTTATTTAGAGACAGGGTCTCACTGAGCTGCTTAGTGCCTCACTTTTGCTAAAGCTGGCTTTGAACTCACAATCCTCCTGCCTCAGCCTCCCAAGCTACTGGGATTACAGTCATGCGCCACCACTCCTAGTTTAATGTTTTCAATATTTTATACATTTAAAAAATTTTAAACCAGGGGCTGCAGTTGTGGTTCAGTGGTGGGGTGCTTGCCTAGCATGTGTGGGGCACTGAGTTTCATTTTTAGCACCACATATAAATAAAGGTCCATCATATCATCAACAACTGAAAAAAATTGGGTTAAACTAAACTAAAGGTATGCTTTTCCCAGAACACCTTGAGATACAAATTTCTTGGCAGTTTAATGCTTGATAATTTGGTTCATAAGATCACGGTTCTGTTTCTTCTTTTCTACAGATCAGCTTTGAAATTTAAAAACAATGGAGAAGACTCAAGAAACTGCCCAAAGAATTCTTCTAGAACCCTACAAGTACTTACTTCAGTTACCGGGTAACAGTTCAGTTACAGTCTGTATAGAATAGTTATCAGACAGTAGTGGTCATTCAAATGTTAGCAAACAGAAAAGGTTAGCTTTATCAGCCTTTGAGATTTCCTGCTGAAAGTGATACATTAACTATAATCCCAGCAGGTCAGGAGGCTGAGACAAGAGGATCACAACTACAAGGCCAGGCTGGACAACTTAAAGAAAACCCTACTTCAAAATAAAAATTAAAGATGTCCCAGGGCATAGCTCACTGGTAAAGCACCCCTGGGTTCAGTCCCCAGTATTGCAAAGAAAGAAAGAGAGATATATTAGAGAAAGTTTACAAATAAACTTTATAATTATTCACTCCTAAAAAGTAATTTTAAAAATATCCAATGATGGGCTGGAGTTGTGGCTCAGTGATACGGCGCTTGCCTAGCATGTGTGAGGCATTGGATTTGATCCCCAGAACCACATAAAAATAAAAAATAAGAGTTTTATGTCCATCTGCAACTAAAAAACATTTTTTTAAAAAATACAATGATATTCTTCAAAAAATAAATGTACCGGGTCTGGGGTTGTGACTCAGTGGTAGAGTGCTTATCTCACATGTGTGAGACACTTGAGTTCAATCCTCAACACCACAGAAAAATAAATAAAGGTATTATGTCCAACTAAAAGATATATTAAATAAATAAAATTTAAAAAATAAACATTTTGAGGCCTCTTTGGATGTTTATTCTTTACAGATGACCGCAAATTCAAATTCCGCCCCTACCCCCCTCCCCTTTATTTTTTTTGCAGTACTAGGGACTGAAATCAGGGGCACTCTACCCAAGAGTTATATCCCTGGCCCTTTTTATTTTTCATTTTGGGACAGGGTTTTGCTAAGTTGGCAAGGCTGGCCTTGGCCTAGGACTTGAGATCCATCTACCTTACCTTTCCAGCTGAGATAACAGGACTGCACCTCCAAACCTGTTTTTTTCACTATTTAGATATTAGAGGAAGTTATCTCTGATTTGTATAACAACAGAAAGTTTGATTTATATTCCATGTTAAAGTGTCACCTTCCATGTTCATGTCTCCCACTATACAACTACCGGCATTTCTTACACTATTAGTTCCTTTGAGAACTAATACAACTAAGTCACTTTATCTGGAAACCTAACCATATTATTTTATATAAGGGAGTATCACCTGAACACAGCTTTCTGACTTAATGGCTGCCTTATTGTGTTTATATATGAGGTTGTTTTGTTTGTTGGTTGGTACCAAGGATTGAACTCAAGGACACTTAACCACCAAGCCACATCCCCAGCCCCAGCCACCACCCCCTCCCCCGACTTTTTTTAATATGGTACTGAGGATCAAACCCAAAGCCTCTCACATTAGGCAAGTGCTCTACCACTGAACTACAACTGCAGCCCATCCCCAGCCCTTTTATTTTTTTATTTTTATTTATCTTGTCTCTTAGCGAAGAGATCCTTGATAAGACTTTGTCTCAAAAAGGAAAAAGGGCTGGGTATGTGGCCCTGTGGTTAGGTGTCCCTGGGTTTAATCCCCAAAAAAAAAAAAAAAAAAATTAATAAAATAGAGCCGGCCTGTTGGCACTCAACTGTAATCATTAACTTCAGAAGCTAAAGCAGAAGGCTCACAAATTTGAGGTCACTCTAAGCAACTTTGCAAGACTGTTTTAAATTAAAAGGGCTGGGGGTGTAGCTCATTGGTAAAGCCTCTCTACATACAATTTCCAGTAATGAATAAATAAAAATTTTAAAAAGTATTTGGAGGAGCTAAAGGGTGTAACTCAGTGGTAAAATACTTGCCTAGGATGCATAAGGCTCTAGATTCAACACTCAACACTAAAAAAATTTGTTTTTTGTTTGTTTCATATACAGAAAGGCACAATGACATACACCTGTAGTTCTAGCTACTTGAGAGGCCATGACAGGAGAATTGCTAAAGCTCAGGAGTTTGGTGCCAGCCTAGGCAATATAGTAAGACCCTGTCTCTTTAAAAATTAAAAAAAAAAAAAAATTAAAAAAAATTTTAAAACTTTTTATTTACTTCTAAATAAATGAGTTACTTGGAAGTTGGCATGCTCTTTCTCATAAAAATAATATAAGAAGTGATGGGCACAGTGGCACACACCTGAAGTTAAGGCCAATTTCAGCAATATAGCAAGACCTTATCTTAAATTGAAAAAGGTCTAAGAGTGTACCTCAGTGGTAGATCACCTTTCAGTTCAATCTCTTATACCACAAATAATAACACAAAAGGCAATTTGAAACCTTAATAGTCTATTTAGTTCATAGTGTAGCTAAACTATAATGATGCTTTCAATCACAGTAGATATTTTTTTCTCTTCCTAAAGTACATATCTATCTTTATGACCACACCACAATGGTAATATGCTTTTCTGTTCTTCCTGAATCTGGGTAGGATAAATATGGTTATCAAAAGCCAAAAGAGAGCCCAGAATGTTGATGCACACTTGAAATACCAACAACTCAGGAGGCTGTGGCAGAAGAATCACTTGCCATTTTTCAAAGCCAGCCTAGACAACTTAGACTCTTATCCAAAATAATAAAGGCTGGTGGTGCAACTCAGTGAAACAAAGGGCTGTGGATATAGCTCAGTGAGTAAAGTGCTTGCCTCACATGCACAAGGCCCTGGCTTCAATCCCCTCACCACAAAAGAAAAAAGGAAGAAGAGAGAAAAAAAAGAGTCAGGCACAGTGGCTCATGCCTATAGTCCTGAGTACTAAGGAGTCTGATGCAAGAGGATAGTGTGAGGCTAAGAGTTTAAGCCACCCTAGGCAACTTAATGAGAACCTGTACCAAAAAAAAAAAAAAAAGCTAAAAGAATGCTAGCTCCTTAGGTACACTTAGGAAACTGTCATGATTAGTAGTATTTCTGTTCTGGCATACCCTAATAGAAACTAACCTGCTAATGTTAATTCTTAAAAAAAAAAAAAAAAATGGAGTGAAGTCAGAAATGTTTAAGAAAACCTAAGCCCGGTGTAAGGGTACATATCTGTAATCCAGTGACTTAGGAGGCTGAGGGAGAGTTTTGCAAATTTGAGGCCAGTGCCAAAGAAGAGAAAGAAAGAAAAAGCCAGGAAACTGAGCACAGTGGTGCCCTTGGCTCAGGAGTCTGAGGCAGAAGAATCATGAGTTCAAAGCCAGCCTTAGCAATTTAGCGAAGCCCTAAGCAACTCTGTGATACCCTGTCTCTAAATAAAATATATTTTTTTTTTAAAAAAAAAAAGGTCTGGGAATATGGCTCAGTGGTTGAATATCCCTACATTCAATCCCTAGTACTCAAAAGAAAAATCCAGGATACTGCTTTTGAGTGATAACTCACTTATTTAAGATGTTGCTCAGTAGTTAAGCGCACCTCTGGGTTCAATTCCCAGTACAAAACAAAAAAAAGAACCACGCCTTGGACAAATATGTTCTTGATCTATAATAACATAATCTCAAAAGATTTTCTGTGCTGGGTTCAGTGGCACACACCTGTAGTTTCAGCACCTTGGGAGGCTGAGGCAGGAGGATTTCCTAAAAATGCCCGTTCAGAAGTTGTTGATGGCAAGTTAAAAATTAAAGCCTACTGGGCTGGGGTTGTGGCTAGGTGGTAGAGCTCTTGCCTAGCATGTGTGAGGCACTTAATACCGCATATAAGTAAATAAAGTCCATTGACAACTAAAAAAATATTTTAAAAAAATTAAAGCATACTGCCGGGCACCATAGCACGGATTACACATGCCTGTAATCTCAGGCTCAGGAGGCCAAAGGATCATGAGTTTAAAGCCAGCCTCAGCAAAAGCCAGATGCTAAAACAATTTAGTGAGACCCTATCTAAATAAAATACAAAATAGGCGTGGGGATATGGCTCAGTGGTTGAGTGCCCCTGAGTTCAGTCTCAGGTACCCAAAAAAAAAAAAAATTAAAGCCTCCTGAAGTGCCATAGAATTTATCTAGAATCTATCTTATCTGCTCTAATTCTGAAAGGTTATGCCTGTTGATTTCAGAGGGATAGGGTTGGGTATTTAGCAGTGAAATATAATCTCTGCAGTAGGTAATGCATTGATGGGGGTGCATTTGCCAAATCTGACGTGTTTTGAAGGAAGTTCCTGTTTTGTGTAAGTAAATAATTGTTTTATTGTCATATTTTATTTTTTAATTGCAGGTAAACAAGTGAGAACCAAACTTTCACAGGCATTTAATCATTGGCTAAAAGTTCCAGAAGACAAATTACAGGTATTTAGGCAATTCTGATCTCATTCTCAGTCTCCCCAAATTAGTAGATTTCTCATGAAATTACTTTTCTTGACTTAGTTTTATGTTCATACAGTATTGTCTTATGTTCAGGTTACTAAATAATTTTTCATTATGAAATTTAAGACACCTGAGACTTCCTTAATCTATTACTACCACTAAATATAAACTATTTGAATATTTCAAATAATGTGAAGTAATTATTTTCTTTTCTTTTTTCTTAGATTATCATTGAAGTGACAGAAATGTTGCACAATGCCAGTTTACTCATTGATGATATTGAAGACAATTCAAAACTCCGACGTGGCTTTCCAGTAGCACATAGCATCTATGGAATTCCATCTGTCATCAATTCAGCCAATTATGTATATTTCCTTGGCTTAGAAAAAGTCCTAACTCTGGATCATCCAGATGCAGTGAAACTTTTTACCCGTCAGCTCTTAGAACTCCATCAGGGACAAGGCCTGGACATTTACTGGAGGGATAATTACACTTGTCCCACTGAAGAAGAATATAAAGCCATGGTGCTGCAAAAGACTGGTGGACTGTTTGGATTAGCAGTAGGTCTCATGCAGCTATTCTCTGACTACAAAGAAGATTTAAAGCCATTACTTAATACACTTGGCCTCTTTTTTCAAATTAGAGATGATTATGCTAATCTGCACTCCAAAGAATATAGTGAAAACAAAAGTTTTTGTGAAGATTTAACAGAGGGAAAATTCTCATTCCCTACTATTCATGCTATTTGGTCAAGGCCTGAAAGCACCCAAGTGCAGAACATCTTGCGCCAAAGAACAGAAAACATAGATATTAAAAAATATTGTGTACATTATCTGGAGGATGTAGGTTCTTTTGAGTACACTCGGAATACTCTTAAAGAGCTTGAATCTAAAGCCTATAAACAAATTGAGGCATGTGGTGGGAACCCTGCGCTAGTGGCTCTAATAAAGCACTTAAGTAAGATGTTCAAAGAAGAAAATGAATAATATTAAGCCATTCTTGATTGGGCCGGATAGCTTCTTTAAGTTAATTTTTCTTTTAGCCTGTCACCTTTTCACAAATTTGGACCAAGCTTTAGTCTTCAAAAACTGAGTAAATAGGGACGGTGTGAGTGAAACTGTTCCAATGTAGAAACCCCTCCATATATGTAATACAGAGTTGAAAGAATAAAAAGGATTCACATTTATATAGATCTAATTTGAATGTCAGAAGTTGTGGTCGCAGGACATTGTGACCAGTCTGCCATGGTACCATAAATGTTCTATTGATTCTGTCAATAAAAAGGACTAGCTTCCAGGAGTTTTTATCTAGGTACTTCCTACTCATGCTACATTGGCAGTTCCCAGTTCATCTATCCCACTTCCAAACCGATGACTACTTGAGACTGATTTCTTTAGCTTGCTGACCCAAAGATCACAAACTCCTCTTTTTTGCCAAAATGCTGCTACTAAGTATATTGCTAAAGTATTCTATGAAAAGACTGAGCAGGTGAAAAACAGTAAATACCATGTTCTCTCTCCTACCCTCTTCTTTTTTTCCTCTACCTTCACCCTGCGACCTTACTTTTTTGTTGGTTGGTTCAAACCCAGGGCCTCAAACATGCTAGGCAAGTGCCCACCACTGAGCTATATTCCTACCCCTGTAAATTCTGATTTTTAACCAGAGTCCCATTTAATGAAATTCACATGCTAATCTGAATTCTCTTTTTCTTTGTAATATTTTTATGTCACAGACTGTTTAGTATCAAGGTACAGAATTGTCTTTCCATTTGAATTTCTGGCTTTGTTCATTTATTTGCAGTGCTAGTGATCAACCTCAGGGCATCATGCATTGCTAAACAAGCTCTGAGTAGTAGTGCTGAGTTATAACCCCAGTCCCCATCTGTCTAGTTGGGAAAGAAAAAATATAAAGAATAAGTTTTAGGAGGGGGCTTCTTAACCTGTCATACTTCATGGTCATTGGTGGTAGAGATATTTAAAGAGCTGTTTGAGTACCTTCAGTACAAAAATGCCCTTTTCTTTCCCAACCACATCACCACCACCCTTGAAAAGGCAATAGGTAGGTGCTTGAATGGAAAGAGAAGAGACACCTTTAATCTCTGATTAAAGGTAACAAGCATTGCCTTCAGAGTGTGGCTGAATAGCAATAAAGGCTTCACCACACTGATCAGCTTTTTGAGATCATTAACCTGACCCAGCTGTTCCTGCAGTATAATTTCCAGACCCATGCCACTGACACATGATGTGGCCCACGAGGTATGGGGTAAAATAAAATACCTTGATTGCTCTATTAGAAGTTTTGACATCCTGGGGCTGAGGATATGGCTCAGGGGTAGAGTGCTTGCCTAGCATGCATGAGTCCCTGGATTCCATCCTTAGCACCACCAAAATAATAATAATAATAACATAAGGGTTGATATCCCAAAATTGAAAGTTAATGTTTTCCAAGCTGGGTGCAGTGGTATGCCCCTGTAATCCCAATGGCTTGGGAGACTGAGGCAGGAGGATCACAAGTTCAAGAAAAACATGATTATTTTTAAAAATATGCTGACTATAATAAGAAATTAAAGTATTAAACTTTGAAGACTAGAGGTGTAGCTCAGTTGTAGAGCACTTGACTAGCACCACAAAAAAATAATAAACCCAGACAGCCTGGTGAATACAGTAATCCTCTAGGATTACTAAATAAAAAGGACTGGGCATGATGACACCTATCTGTACTCCCAGAGACTGTGGAGGCTGAGGCAAGAAGATCACAAATTCAGTAATTTAAGGTCCTGCTGAAGCTGAACATGTCTAATTCCATAATGGTACTAAACTGTCTGTGACATAAAAGTGGGGACAAGGCAGAAAGATTGCAAGTTGAGGCTAGCTTGTGCCCTTCAGTGAGATCCTGTCTAGAAAACAAAAAGACCCTGGTTTCAATCCACAATATTGCCCCCCCCCAAAAAAAGAATTTAAGTATCAAGAATGGTTATATAATTTTTTTGTCCTTGTCTAATCAAAATAGTTTTGACCTGGTGCTAATTTTATGATTCTTTTGCCATTTTTATCTTGCTTTTGCCATTGACAGAAATGCTTGGCGTTGAATTGAGAACGTTTTGACAAAAATTCATTTTATTAAATAAAACTCCATTCTTTTCACTTGAACTGTAGTCAGAGCTATTAATATAGAAAGAGATAATAAGTAAATAGTTTAAATCAAAATGAATTAATTCATCTGCTTATGTTTATGATACAGCAATTTTTTTTCCTGAATAAGGGAAAATCTTGTCATGATCAAGTAAGAATTGGGTTTTACCATTTAGTAAGAGTATTTGCCAGGTGTGGTAGCCCACACCTGTAATCCCAGCTACTCTTATTTGAAGCCAGCATGAGCAACTTAGCAAGACCTGTCTCAAAATAAATAAAAAGGACTGGGCATGATGGCACATATCTGTAATCCCAGAGACTATCTAGAGGCTGAGGCAAGAAGATCACAAATTCAAGACAAGCCTTAGCAACTTAGAAATCTCTAAGCAACTTCCTGAGACCCTGTCTCAAAAAATAAACAGCACTGGGGATATAGCTCAGTGGTAAAGTGTCCATGGGTTAAATTTCTGGTATCTAAGTAAATTAAAAAAGGGTAGGGGATATGACTTAATAGTTAAGCACGGCTGGCTTCAATCCCCAATACCAAAAAAAAGTAAAGATAAAACATAATTTTTCTAGTCAATACATCTCCAAAATACAAATTGATTTCATTTATTTTCCAAATTCAAAAGAATATAAAGGTCAATTACCTGAGCAAGATTTATTTTTGTCGAGATGAGGTCTAACTAAATGGCCAAGGCCAGCCTCCAACTCTGCATTCTGCCTCAACCTCTGGAGTAGCTGGAATTAATATTCAGCTTCAGCAGGACCTGAAATTCGGCTGCTCTTCTCTGTTCTGCTCTATGGACCTCTTCCTACCTTACCTCCTTCTGTCCCTAACCTACACCCTATTATCATTCACTTAAGGAAGACTTTTAGATCATTGCTTCCTTTCCTTGGCCTAAGTAACCATCTACTTCGTTCTTGCTCTGCTGCTGAGTGCTTCTAGGGAATGTTTTCAGAATTGCTGTTGTGGCCATTATAACTTACTATATTGAAGTCCAATAACCCTTTATTTTTCATCTAATCTTTCCAAGAGAAGATTTCAACTATCAATTTAATGTCCCCTGATTCCCACTCTTTCGTGAAATGTAAACTCTCTTAATTTTCCTCCCTTCTATTTCAAGTCTGTCTTCAAATAGTCTGCCTTTAGTCCCCCCAAAAGTTTGACTTGCCCTAAGCCAAAGGAACTCCTGATTCCTTCACTTTCTATATCTATTTGTTTTTTGGGGGGTACTGGGCATTGAACTCAGGGATACTCAACCACTAAACCACATCCCCAGCCCTATTTGTATTTTATTAGAGATAGGGTCTCACTACTTAGCATCTCACCATTGCTGAGGCTGGCTTTGAACTCGTGATTTTCCTGTCTCAGCCTCTTGAGCCACTGGGATTATAATCCTGAGGCACCATGCCTGGATTCACTTTCTATATTTTGAAAGCCTTGTTCCATTCCATCTTATATACTCAAGATTTATCCATTGGCTCTTTTCATCAATGTATAAAGAGGAGGAAAGGGGGGGGGATTCATGAAGTGTCTTTCAAATATGAGATATTTATGTTTTCTTCAAGTATTTGCAAAGCAGCACCAGGACCTTGAGTCAAGCCAAAGCAGTGGGCTCTTTTGTACACACTGTCTCTAATGCTTCATGCACTCTTAGATGCTGTTAAAAGTTTGGAAAACACTTGGTTATTAAAATAACAGAAAGTTTTCTTCCTGTAATGTCTCCCCATTTCAGTCCATCCTTCTCCCCAGTATGCCACAATAGCTAATATTCAGTGTGTACAAAAAAAGACAGTAAGAGGCCCTACAATAATGTGAATTCAGATATAATGCAGTTGGCACTTGGCTACCTCAACCCCTATACCCCCACTTAGCTAACTGCAGACTCACTCTGGTACTTTTAGTAATTTGTAATTGAATATATTGGACATAACCTACAATGTTATGGCATAGTTTTACTATACATGAGTTGGTTAAAAAAAATAATGCAACAAGCCAGGCACGGTGGCACATGCCCGTAATCCCAGAGACTTGAGAGGCTGAGGCAGGAGAATCTCAAGTTAAAAGCAAGCCTCAGCAATTTAGTGAGATACTTAGCAACTCAGTGAGACCCTGTCTCTAAATAAAACACAAAAAAGGGCTGGGGATGTGACCCAGCGGTTAAGTGCCCCTGGGTTTAATCCCTAGTACCCTCCTCCCACAAAAAGTGCAATAAGCAATAATCTAATAAATTTCAGAATTAACCCTTTAGTTCAAGTGAATTATGTACAGTGTTTCATACCACTGATTAATGGGCATTCTGTCACTGAGATAGCTTGGAAACACGTACATTTCTTTTTTTTTTTTTTTGGTTTGTTTGTTTTAATATTTATTTTTTAGTTTTTGGCGGACACAACATCTTTGTATGTGGTGCTGAGGATCAAACCCGGGCTGCACACATGTCAGGCGAGCGCGCTACCGCTTGAGCCACATCCCCAGCCCCTCTTTTTTTTTTTTAAATTTTGAGATGGGGTCTTGCTGTGTTGCTCAGGCTGCCCTTGCTTCCCTAGACTCAGGGATCTTCCCACCTCAGTTCTTGAGTGCTGGGATTATAGGTTCATGTCACTAGCCAGCAGCTGGCACATTCTTTTTAAAAGTACTCTGCTTTGGAGAATTACCAATTTAATATCTTTGAATTACATATTATATCAGTGTACACAAAGAAAAATATATGCAAAGATATTAGAATTACTATGATGAGTAATAGAAGATACTTGGACTTCAATGGTGAAGTAGTAGTAATGGTAAACTGGTAAAAGTGGTTTGAAAATCTTAACCAAAACTTGATGAGTTGCTTAAAAGAAATTGTAAAATGGGAATAGTTAAACATTTAAAAGAGTTAACAAGTTTTCAAGAGATTTAGCCTAATAAATACTCTTAACATATAGATGTCAATATCTCATTTTATTTCTGATACCAGATTCTGAGCCCAAGGGTACATAACCACTGAGCCACACCCCAGCCCTTTTTTATTTTATTTATTTACTTTTAGGTATTTTTTTTTAGTTGTAGATGGACACAATACCTTGATTTTATTTATTTATTTAATGTTGTGCTGAGGATAGAACCCAGCTCCTTGTATGTGCTAGGTGAGCTCTCTACTGCTGAGCCACAGCTTCAGCCCCCCTTTTTTATTTTTTGAGACAAGGTCTTGCTGAGTCACTTAGGGCTTCGCCAAGTTGCTGAGGCTGGCTTTGAACTCATGATCCTCCTGCCTCAACTTCTCAAATTGTTGGAATTATAGGTATATGCAACTAAATCCAGCAGATGTCGATTCTTTATAAGAAACAAATGGTTTTATTTGTTTAATGTATTTATTTGCAGTACAAGAGATTGACCCAAGTGGTGCTGTACCAGAGCTACATCCTCAGACTTTTAATTTTTTTTTTTTTTTTTTTTTTACTTTGAGACAGACTCTTACTAAGTTGCCAAGCCTTGGGCTCAAACTTGCAATCACACTGCACTAGAATTACAGATGTGTGCCACAGATACTAAGTCAATTAACCTTAGAGAATTGAACAATTAAGATGTCTTTATAACAAATAATAGTAAGGATGTAACTAAACAAACTACTCCCTTCCATCCAATAGGAAATCAGTGAAAGTGGCTTTTAGCTAAGTATTTAATAGGTACCTTTCAAAGTGAAACTTAAATATGGCCTTCAGTTAAGGTAATGGATTTTCAAATACATAAGACTGGCTCAACTGCAGTCTTTTTTTGTTATTCCCAACATACAAGAGGCCCTGAATAAGCTACTGACTTCACTGTAAGGCAGCTAGAGAACATTTATTCAATATGGGATTATTTATTTACTGGTAATGGAGTCTAAACAGGGTGCTAAACCAATCAGTCATATCCCCAACCCTTTTTATTTTTTAATTTGAAACAAGGTCTCACTAAATTGCTGAGGGTTTTGGTAAATGGCTGAGGTTGGCCTTGAACTTGCAGTCTTCCAGCTTCAGCTTCCCAAACTGCTGTGATTACAGGCATGTGCCACTGCACCTGGCTCTACACCACTTTTAAAAGAAAAACACAAGTTACAAATGTCTACTGCTGACCTGAGTCACTTTTATTTGATTAATAAATATATGTAAAATAAATGAGGCTTGAGCTTTATAACAAACACCCTTTGTTGTTTATTGGCTATATTCTCCCACCCAATTCTTTTTTTTCTGTAGTGGAGAGTTAATTTAGGGGCACTTTACCACTAAGTTATATCCCTAGCCCTTCTTGTTTTTTTAATTTTGAGATAAGGTCTCATTAAGTTGCTTAGGCCCTCACTAAATTGTAGAGACTGGCCTTGAATTTGTAATCCTCAGCCTCCTGAGTTGCCGGCATGTGCTTTCATAATCTATCTTTGCTCCCATATTTTTCAATTTTTTTGTTGTCCAGGGCTTGCACATAATAATACTCTTGCCACTGTACTGCATTCCTAATTCTAAATTTCTTTTATCTAAAACATTTAATCTTTATCTTTCCCCCAGCCTAATTGATACATAGGTTGTGAGTATTGAACTCTGTAGTAGCTAGGGCTCTTTCCATTCTAAGCAACTGAAATTAAAGTCAAACCAATTTAATCATAAAAGGAATTAGCTGGAGCTTATAATTGGAAAATCCAGGGTTTTTTTTTTTTACTTTAGTTATTGTTAAGTCCTGGGGGTTAAATCACTTATTCTCTCCTCATTTTTCCTCTTAGTTCTACATTTTTAAAAAAATGTTGGCCTCATTCTTTGATGCTAAAGGACAAACTCTTTCCCATGATAGGAAAAACGGTCACTGGCTTCCAATGTCTTTATCAGCCAAGTACCAAGACCTCAAAGGCAAAAGCTCCTGTTTTGACTTTAGCAGTGAAGTCATAAGAAGGCCTTTGGTTGGCTGGGCTTTAATCTTGTCTTTGGATATGCAACACGTGGATAAGGAAGCAAGGTACTCTAATACTCTCTCTCAGAGTAGCTGCAACCCCCTCTTTCAGTTTTGGCCTTACCTCTCTGGTTTAAGCCACTTTTTATTTTCCTCTTCATAAATGGGGATTGAACTCAAGGGTGATCTATCACTAAATTATATCCTCAGCTCTTTTTATATTTTACTTTTACTAAATTGCCCAGACTGTCCTTGAACTTGGTGATCCTCCTGCCTTGGCCTGCCATGTACCCCGCACATATTGTCTAACTCACACCATCAAGCATACATCTCTCCAGGATTGGAATATTGCATTTCTCCTTTCATAGCTAGATCTTCAGTGCAAAGCTAGTACTCACTAAATATTTACTTATTGCATGAATGATGGGACTCAGAATGGATTGCAGTGCAAACATTTTGAGTTAGAGCTTTTTTCCTACAATGTTTGAAGTATGATTTTTACAGCTATTGGGATAATTAACCCTATGAAACTATGCTGTACAAAAATCAAAGGATGTGGGGACTGAGAAAGCACCTTGGTGATATGAAGTCACTAATAACATTTGAGTAGGTGATTTTGGAAGAACTGGAGGAAGAATAGACAAAGTGTCAGGCTGGAAAGGATTAAAGAGAGAGGGATGAGGAATAAGAGACAAGCATATAGATTTCTATTTGGGAAGACTTTATTTCAGGGTAGCGTATTTATTTTGTATTGCTGGGATTGTAACGCTGAGCCTTGAGCATACCAGGCAATCTCTCTACCACTGACCTAAAACCCGCCTCTTTGGGAGAAGAATTTAGAGGACAACTACTTTGAAGAAGATAACATAGTTGAGGTAAGAGTGTGCTGATCAACATGAAGAGAGAAGACTGACAGTGAAGAGGTGTCATCTTTTCATTCTAAGAAAAACTGGGTAAATATTATCACAATTAACAAAGTAAATTATTTTATAAAGAAAAATTCATGTTTTATATGGATCATCTGAATTTAGTGGATGAGGTTAATTTTTTCGGGGCTGTAATCTCAGATACTTCGGAGGAAGATTACAAGTCTGAGGCCGGCCTCCAATCTCGAGCCCGGTCTCAAAACATACATATCCACAGATAGAGCTCTAAAAATATAAAATAAATGTGGAATGTTATCTGAAATCCTTATTTGAAGTTTTATATCTGTATTGGAAAAGTGCAACAATGAGGATTGGCTCAGAGGATTCTCCAAGCAAGAGTGGGATGGTGTATTCTTATAGGATTCCAAACAGCAGTTTCTGAAAGTTTATTTTTAGGACCCAAGATTCACTGTGTATGTCCTTTCGTTTACCAACAAAAGCAGGTTCACAACCGGAGTCTCTCTCTCTCCTTTGCCAGTTGAAATTCTGGTCAACCTTGACGTTCAGCATGCGTGTTGCAGCAGCCTTTGGTTGGATTAGTGACGCCCTCGATAATTTACCCCTTGCTTTTGCGGCAGAGACGACCCACGACCTGGCGCCTGACAGGCAAACTCTCCAACACCGCTCACGCTTAACCCGGCGTCGCGTGCTGTAATCATGTGCCAGACCCCGCGCAAGACGTTCCTAGTGTCACTGCCGGTCCTCACCACGATGCGCTGCGTCACCCCGGCAACGCAGGGAATCCCGGCACGCCAGGCAAACGCTCTATCCGAGCCACGTCCCCAGCCCAATCTCTAGATTTTTAACCGCCGAGAACGGCGACGGTGGAGATTGTCGTGCGCAGGGGCGGCTTTCCCCGTTCTGTCTCTGGTACTCATACTGCCTTCCACCCGCCTGCAGTCCTAGCCGGCCTTCCTTTTCCGCAGGGGAGGCCGGAACGCGCTACTGCGCACTGCCCACGTAGTACACACCTGTCAAGCCTGACTCTCCAGGGCTGGCAACCCGCGTGGCGAGGGCCCTTGGGCCGGAGGATGCGCGGTCACTGGGACGCGCTGTCCGGCGGGCTCCGGCGCCGGGGCTGGGCTGGCCTAGGGCACACTTGTAGGATCTCAGCCAGCTCTTGCGGCCGCCGCTCGATCAGCGGGGCGGGACTTCCGGTCTCCCCATGGCACTTCCGCTCGAGGCTGGAAGCTCTGCTGCCCTCCGCTGTCAAGGGGCAGCCGCCGAGACCACCAGCTGCTGCTGGCAGGTGAGCCTTGAGAGCTGGGCCGCGGAGGTCGGACTGGGGGCTCGTCTGGCCTCACTGTGTCCTTTCCCTTCCTGGATTTACCCGGGCGGCAGCCCAGGCTCTGAGGTGCCCGCGGAGACGCGGCCGTCGCTGGGGAGGGGTGGGGCTGCGCGGATCCCCGGCCGCGGTCGGCACCCGGCTAGGAGAGCTAGCTGCTGGAGCCCGCGTCGGCGTCCGCCCCGCGCACGGCGCTCGGCGCCAGCCGGGGAGGAACACGGTGTGGCAGCGCCGCCCGCGGAAGCGGCTGGTGGTGCGGCCGCTCGCCTCGCCGGGTGCGCAGGCCCTGCCGCCGTCCTTGCTGTTTGCTTCGTGGCTTTTCCTGGTGTTTTTGTTTTATATGAGATGTGCTGTTATAAACAATATGCCTCTGGGGTCTCCCCATCCAAGGTGATGGTCTGCCTTTTGAATTGCAGGTTTATTGTGTTGAACTTAATTGTCTCTACTGAGAACTCGCTTGGGAGTCCTCTTGACTCAGCTTTCTCCCCTGAGCTTCAGCAGCTGCTGTCAGCAGGATCCGTCCACTCCGAACCACCTTTGCGTGTGGTTCAGGTTGCGGTTACCTCTCACCTGGCCTAAGGACACCCAACTAGACTCTGCTTTTTTTTTTCTTTTTGGTCTGTTAGCATCCCTAGAGGGATCCTTCTGAAAAAATAAATCAGATGATCTGCCATTTCACTCAGTAAAGCCAACTGTTTGGAGACCTAAATGCTGGATGTCCTCTCTACTAATCTGTTGACTGCTGTGTGGCCTGCCTCCCCAAGCACTCCCCCAGGCTATCTACACTTTTTTCTCTGCCGGGAATGGTCTCAATGATTCAATCCCTTCTCTCTCTCTTCCAGGTTTTGGAATATTACCTTCTCAGGGAGGCCTTCCTCTTTAACAGATCCACTGTGCTTATCATTATTCTTTATCACGTTTCTCCCCAGTAGCTTCATGGGGACAGGGATTTTGTTTTCTTTCTTTTTTGGATACTGGAATTGAAAACAGAGGGGCTCTTTACATCTCCAGCCCTTTGTATTTGTTATTTTGAGACAAGATCTTGCTAAATTGCTGGGGCTGGCCTCAGTCTTTCAATTCTGCCTGAACCTTCTGAGGCCCTGAGATTAGAGTCCACACCCAACAGATCTTCTACTTTTAAAGAATAACAGTTATGGCTGGGGATACCCAACAGGTCTTCTACTTTTAAAGAATAACAATTATGGCTGGGGATACAGCTCAGTTGGTAGAGTGCTTGCCTTGCATGCACAAGGCCCTGGGTTCAGTCCCCAGCACCTCAAAAAAATAAATAAGTAACAGTTATGGTCTGGGCACAGTGACCTATTCACATAATCCCAGCCAGTTGTAAACTGAGGCAGGAGGATTGCAAATTCAAGGTCATTCTGCAGAAATTAGTAAGACCCCCATCTCAAAATAAAAATCACAAAAATAATAAGAATTTCAACTAATATTGCATAATTCAGATAAAATGAAAGCGTCTTTGCAAAGTGCATAATTTAGTTTTAAATTTTTGCTTTGTTGATGATACTCAACCCCTGAATTCCTTTCATGTTCTCCAGTTTTCTCAGTTCTTAGTCTGAAAAGCCTGTAGACTCCTTCATAGACTATTTAATTACAGAAAATAAATACATAAGATTTCAAAGGTAACTACTCTCATGAAATAGTTGTCAAAATATTTTGAAACAGTAATATAATGTGTTTCTTTATTAACACATTAAGCAACAAGATCTAGGTGTCAGGTCTTTTATGTTTGTTTTAAGGTACTGGAGATGGATCCCATGGCCTGTGCATGGTAGGCACGCTCTATCACTGAGCTATTGCCTCAGGCCTAGTAGGTCTAAGAAATATTTTAGTTTTGAAATAGTGATGGATATGAACTATACTTTGAGAAATCTGTAACAGCTGTAATATGATATAAAAATATTTATGATTTCTAAAGATGAGAATCTCAGAGGCTGCTAATCCAACTTGTGATATTTTATGTCTATGTACATAATTAAGGAAAGTTCTAACTTTCAGTTAAAAGTTAGTAAAAATTTTCAGTTAGAAAGGGTTTTCTTTTTGTTTGTTTGGTTTTTTTTTTTAAGTCAATAATGTGCCAGGTACTGTGGTGCAAGCCTGTAATCCTAGCAGCTCAAGAGACTGAGGCAGGAGGTTTGCAAGGTCAAAGCTAGCCTCAGCAATTTAGCAAAGCCCTGTCTCAAAGTAAAAAAATTAAAAAGGCTGGGTATGTGGCTCAATGGTAAGTTCCCCTAGGTTCAATCCCTGGTACCAAAAAAATAGTCAATAATGTTTGTTTTTTTTTCCTTTTTTTTTTTTTTTCCCTTCCATATTGGGGATACAGCCCAGGGTCATGCATGGCAGGCAAGTGCTATACCACTGAGCTACAACCCTAGCTCTTTTTTATTTTTTTAATCTTTTAAATTTTTGAGGCAGGGTTTTGCTGAGTTGTGCAGACTGGTCTACAACTTGGAATCCTCCTTCTTTAGCCTCCTCAGCAACTGGGATTACAGTGTTCACATGTTGGTGATTTACTTCATCACACTTGATCAGGGTCACTCAAGTTCCTCTAAAGATTGAGGCAAGAGCCAGACACAGTGGCAGATCCTTGTAATCACAGGGGCTCAGGAGGCTGAGACTGGAGGATCCCATGTTCAAAGTATCAGCAGTGGGGAGGTGCAAAGCAACTCAATGAGACCCTGTCTCTAAATAAAATAGGGCTGGGATATGGCTCAGTGGTTGAGTGACCCTGAGTTAAATTCCAGGTACAAAAAAAAAAAAAAACAGTTTGAGGCAAGATTTATCTTCACTATAGCTTTTTTTCTTCTTTTTTGGTGCATGTGTGTTTACACATTCTGGTCAATTGCCCTATCACAGAGCTATATCCACAACCCTTTTTTTAATTTAAGACAAGGTCTCACTGAGTTGCTTAGTACCTTGCTGTTGCTGAGGCTGGCTTTGAACTTGCGATCCTCCTGCCTCAGCCTCCTCAGCTGCTGGGGTTACAGGCATGCATACCTTTATTTTATTTGTTTATTTTTTATGTGGTGCTGAGGACCAAATCCAGTGCTTCACACATGCTAGGCATTACTTAGCGTAATGTCCTCAAGATTCATCCATGTTGTAGCAGGTGTCAGGATTTCTTTTTAAGGCTGAATAATATTCCTTTGTGCGCACATGCACACCATATTCATTTATTGAAGGGCACTTCGGTTGCTTTCATCTTTTGGCCCTTTGTGAATAATGCTGCTATAAACATGTAAGTGCAAATAGCTGCTTTAGGGTATGCTTTTCTAGTTTTTTAAAATTAATTTGAGGAATCATGTAGTTATTATTAAGATCATGAGGGAGCCAGCTGTGGTGACTCCTGCTACTCTGGAGGCTGAGGCAGGAGGATGGCAAGTTCAAGGCCAACCTTGGCAATTTAGTGAGACCCCATCTCAGAACAAAAGAAACAACAACAATGAAAAAAACCTCAGACTGATGAGAAAAAAATAAATAAATAAACTAGTAGGAAATGTGCAAAGTACATGAATGGGTAGTTCACATAAAAGGAGAGATACTCAGCTTCCCTCATAATACTCCTGATGGGATTGTAAATTGGAACTGCCATTATAAAGGGACATTTGGTATTAGCTACTCAAATGTAAAATACATATGACCTTTGACTCAGCATTCCCAGAGTTTTGGCTGGTTTTGGGTAATGGTGATTAAACCCAGGGGTGTTCTATCACTGAGCCACATCCCCAACCCTTTTTATCTTATTTTGAGACAGAGTCTCACTAAGTTGCTGAGGTTTGTCTCAAACTTGAGATCCTTCCTCCTCATCCTCCAAAGTCATCGAGATTACAGATGTATACCACAATGCCTGGCTCACACTTGAACATTGTATCGATTAATATGATGATTCTGTAGCCCTGTTCAAAAGTGTTTATAGAATAGCCAGGTGTGATGGCACATGCTTGTAATCCCAGCTGCGGGAGGCTGAGACAGGATTTCAAGTTCAAACCCAGCCTCATCATAAAGCAAGGTGCTAAGCAACTCAGTGAGACTCTGTATCTAAATAAAATACAAAATAGGGCTGGGGATGTGGCTCAGCAGTCAGGTGCCCCTGAGTTCAATCTCTAGTACCAAAAAGAAAAGAAAACAAATGTTTAATAAAGGAAGTATGTATCTCAATTGTAATAAAATCTGTTTACATGTTAATGAAAATTAAAAGGGTTCTTAAAACTAGTAAAAACCATTCTTAGGGTAATGTAATTATAGTGAAATTTAAATATTTATTTAAGTGTTATGGACAGAAGATGGTGGTAATCAGAAATGGCTTTGGTATTTATTTCCTTGCAACCTTAATCTCCTACAACTGTCTTTCCCATGAAAAGGGAGAAAGGCGAATGTGTTGTTAAGTCTATGCTGGTGGGTGAGTGGTATCCTGACCATTGAATACCCAGACAGGTCACATGTCACATTTGTAACATGATTTTCATTTCTGGGTGTTAAAATTTATCAGTGGAATTTGTAAATGAATTATAGGGAAAATTTGGAATTTTTTTTTTTGATACCACGTGCTTAAACACTGAAACAACCTTCCCAGCCCTTTTATAGACTTTAAATATATGTAGAGACAGAGTCTTGTTAAATTGCTTAGTGCCTTGCTAAGTCTGAAGCTGGCTTTGAACTCCCGATCCTCCTGCCTCAACCTCCCAAACTTCTGGGATTACAAGTGTGCACCGCTGTACCTGAGATCTTGGAATTTTTTTTTTTATTTTAGTTGTAGATGGGCACAATCTCTTTATTTAATTAATTTTTTTATGTGGTGCTGAATCCATTGCCTCACACTCAAGCACTCAACCACTGAGCTATAATCCTAGCCTGAAAACTTACAATTCTTATGAGGATGGTTTAAAGGCCTGTGAATGTTTACCTGGTACAAAGACAGGTAGAGGGAAAGCAGAAATGATAACATAAGGATGTCCTTCAAATATTCCATTGTCCACTGGAAAGGGACTACATTGGTGGGTCACAGTTGGAGAGGGCAATACTAAAAGATGATGGGTAGATTTCATGGTGCACACGTGCACGCACATGCGTGTGTGTGTGTGTGTGTGTGCGCGTGCTGTGTTTAGGGATTGAAATTGAACTCAAGGGTCCTCTATTACTGACATACATCCCCAGCCTTTTTTAAAAAAAAATATTTACTTTTTAGTTGTAGTTGGACACAGTACCTTTATTTCACTTATTTATTTTTATGTAGGAGGATGGAACCCAAGGTCTCACACATGCGAGGCGAGCGCTCTACCGCTGAGCCACAACCCCAGCCTCCCCAACCCTTTTCTTGTTATTATTTATTTATTTATTTTTAAATACCTTTATTTATTCATTTATTTTTTACATGGTGCTGAGGATCGAACCCAGTGCCCCATATGTGTGAGGTAAGCACTCTACCACTGAGCCACAGCTCTAGCCCCTCTAGGTTTTTATTTTAAGACAGGCTCTCACTAAGTTGCCAAGGCTGACCTCAAACTTGAGATCCTCCTTTCTCAAGTCTCCTGGGATTATAGGCATAAAGCTGTTAGACCAGGACGCAAGAAAAGACCACTGACTCCAATTAAAATCAAATTAAAGTAAGCTTATTATTTCGACCAGCCGGGCTGCCTTTCCTTCCCAAAACAGCGGGGAACAAGACAGCAGCCCCAGCTTTCCTACAGCCCGGCTTTATAGCCCAGAAAGTTACACAAAGGGGGGGTTACAGATAACAGAACTCTGACAAGCATCACACTAATGGTAGTTTACATTTTTTGCTGGCCCCAACATCAGAATTTATGAGGACCATTAGAGCCTCAGAGAGGGTAGTTGTCTGGCCAGGGAAGGCCAATGTTTATGAGATGTCACTAAAGTTTCAGAGAGGGCTGCTATCTGGTCAGAGAGCCAGGCATGGGTGAGTTCAAGGCACAGGCAGGCATTCCAAGCAGGTTCAGAATTTGCAGTAATTTGTAGTAAGGCTGAAATTAGCTTTTCATGGCTTTGTGGCAAGATGGCTTCCAATTTTAATAAAAGATCAGGTTGGGTTTATCAAAGCTATGAATCCTGCCTATTTCTTTCTTCTTATTTTTTTTTTT